CCACAGCCGCGCCAGAACATGCGGGACGCATGACTGGCTTTTGTGAAGTCTTGGATTGCTGCCAGCGACATGCCTCCATCCAATGAACGGAGGGTCGCGGCTTACCATGCCTGGATGAATTCTGACGCACGGGCTGCCTTGATCGCAGGACAAGCTGGCGTGCAGGTATGATTATGACATGGTTCCGTGTGTGGGTGCATAGCGGCTCTACCATACTACCACCGGTTCTTGTTTTCGATTTGTTTGTTGAAGGAACCATGGATGAGGATGTTTTGGGGTTTGGGGTCCGGTTCACAGCTGGAAGCTGTGCTGGGCTGTTGTTTTCGCAGCAGTCCGCGCCGTCCAATAATTTGCATCTACCGCCCACATGGGCTCCGGAGTTCTCAGGAGTGTTCAAAAGTCGTTCAATGCGTTCATTGCGAGTTTCAATGCCACTCAATGCATTTCATTTTAAACAGCGTCAATAATTTAAGATCTAGAGACGGAGGGAGTTGCATTGGATTTTGTATTTCCCATTGGGGACTAGTGCAAATTTTGTTTTTCAGTTGCAGTGTTCTGCGAACACACACACAAGGAAGCACGACAGTTACACGGAAAGGACAAACAACAAACATCTTGTGTAAAGTCTTTTGATTCAGTGCCGGAAGGTCACTTTGCAAATAAGGTTTGCGATTAAAACGATCGCCGTCCCAGCAGGCCTTGAGCCCATGAAGTACCAATGGACGAATGTTCACCTCCAGAGGACATCCGATGGGCGCATCCGATCGGCGTTGATCAAAAACAAAGTTCCCGGACCTACTCGTGACATGCCCACATGGCTAACATGGCCTACTCAACAGGGCTTACAAAATCCGCGTGGCTAGCGTCCGAGTTTTTCCCATGTGTTCCTTCCTCTTCTTTCTTCCTCTTCTTCCTCTTCTTCCTTCTCACTCCCCTTCTCCCATCACTCGCATGCGCCTGGCTCTGCCAGGATCCAATGCTCAAATGAGCTGTGGCTCGGGGCGGACGGCGGCGGCGGGGCGGTCGTTGTGGTAGTGATACCATCTCTGGTTTATTTGGGGTTCAAAGATCCCATAAGTATCCTTCTTCAAAAAAAATACTACCGTGGCAACAAGAGATGGATTCACGGACGCGATCCCGGCAGTTAAGAACGGCCCACCCCAGACCTATACAAATACATGTAAAAACCAGTCCATACATAGTGCTGCAAACCGCACGATCCTTAGTCTAATTTTTGCAAAAAGACAATCATAGCGTGCTCTCAATAAAGAACTCATTTTTCTTGAGTACTGCTTTGAGTGAACAGCTGACTTTTGCTTTGGGGTGCTGTGAGTGAACGGCTGACTTTTGCTTTGGGGTGCTGTTGAACAGCTGACTTCTGCTTTCAACAGCTTTGCTGGCTGTCAATCAACAAATTTGCATGGCAACAATCACTTTTGGCTTTGGTAGCGGAGCTGCTAAAGACAGAAAGAAGAATCCAAAAGCCACAAATTCATGACCAAAAGCCACCAATATAACTTGCCAAGCTGATCATTGTAGACGAGCGCCACGGAAACAAAGTTCCCACCTGCCTTTCACCTGGGTGGGCTACACGCTGTTCAAGACAGCGTGAGAAAAAGGAAGGGCTTGTGAGCTTATAGGATCCAAAAGGCTGGTTTGCGAAGGTGCGAATAATGCAGACATACACTTCACAATTGACTTGGGGGCAAGGGACGCATGAACTGAAGATTCCCTTGACAACCCTACGGGCCATGCGTTCGCTTTGCACTGACCATTATTCGACTTCGCCAAAAGCTATGTTTTGCCTGTTGACACCTCCAACTCTCGAGCCTGAATTTGCTCTGCATTACAGTGTATTCCAATTGATGCTTCGCATGTTTCCTTCAGCTGAAGCGCGACGACAATTGGATCATGATCTTTCCCAACTGCAAGAACCTATCATAGATGGTCCCTATAAGAGATTTCTTCAGATTAAGTCGCATCCAATTTTTGCTTCAACCTATCGTCAATTTATTAATAACACTCTCACTCCGGATAAATGGCAACATGATCTAAGAGAGGATTTCCGAAAGCATACTTGGCAGCTTCTTTGTCGAGATCGGGGTCAGCACTTCGGGGGAACATCACAGGGAGTAAACAAGCAACTCACCACTGCTTTTTTGTCGAAATGGGCCCGAGAAGCTGATGCCATGAGTCTTGATCCGGTCGATATTGACAAGGACCCTAAGGTTTGCATGAAGGTTTTGCGTTTACTCTTGATAGGAGGCCTTATGTCCCCAGAAAGGGAGCATCGACATCGGAAACGATCCGGAAAACTGTATGTTCATGCGGTGTAGCTGAACCCAGTACTGTGCATATTTCTTGGGAGTGTGTGAAGTTCAAAGATTTGCGGGCTAAAGCCTTGGCAGTTCTTCCCAAGCCGCTCAATCGTTTGCCAACATGTTTTATTAACTGCGCCATTGTTCCTCATTCATTATCCATTGATAAGCAATCCTTGGAGATAATCCAGGCAACTTTAGTAACTATATGGCAAAGGCACATCCAAGAATGGCATGAAGATCCCGAAGGTTTTCAGGTTGTCACAACAGGGGCAACTCCACATTTTCCAAGCTCTTTGCCTGCTCTCTCTGACACTGAAAAGTTTTTGCCAGTACCCCGCAAAGGCCATGTTTTGAAATTGCCGCCCACCAAGGGCGTATTTTGCATCAAGCGTGGCAAGCAAACTGCCAATCTCAAACACCAGCGCCTTAAAATTACCAACAAACCCTGTAAGTACTCCCACTTGCCCAAAGATAAGTGGCTATCCTCCCCGGGTGCAATGCTGAATAAGAATAGGGTGGAAGCTGCTGAGTTCCAACTGCACTCGGTCTACAATAAGGGTTGCCATCAAATGGTATGGAATAAGCAGTTTGGTAAGGACAAACAGAATGACAAACTCTTTGGCAAGATATATTGCAAACGCTGCAATCGCGAATGGGCGTGGATGCATCGGCATCACAATTTTGCTAGGACCATACGCCACCCGATTACTCAGCCATTCACGCCCCCTCAGTGGGTCTTGCAGCAAGAGCCGCTTTCCCAACCAACCCCATGTAGTACTATCTTGAATAAACCGAAATATAGGCTAGAAGGCAAGCAAGCTCCAAGCTTATCGAGGTTTTTGCATGTTTCAGTTTCACCGGATTTTCCGCAATCGTCAAATCCGACAGCTAGCAGCTCCAAATCCCTACCTCGTGCAGGTATCGGGTGAATGGGCATGGACAGACAGGACCACAGCGTAATGCTATGGTGCTAAGTCAAGCCCATACTACTTATAGGATCCAAAAGGGATCGAACTGGCGCTCACCAGAATCTGCGACTTTCTCAGAGGGGGAGCGCGGTGAGTTCTCAAGAGACTTCCAATCGAGAAGTGTACCAAGTTCGCTCAGGGTTCATGAGAGGTGTACCTAGAACATTTTGTGCGCAAATCGAGAGTGTACCAAGTGCGAGACTTGAAAGGTCTAGCACAAATCGAGAAGTATACCTACCGAAGCCCTTTTTCACTGAGAAAGAAAAGGTCCGCTGGGTGCGGACACGCGGTTGCAACAGCATGCCAGCAGAAGAACAATATATCTAAGCGAAGTTCTGGAAGGGTCATATCACTCAGTGCAAGGGAAGTTGCACGGGAGTAGGAACATCCGGGAACCATGCACGGCACAACGCGCGGCGCTTCCACCAGCCCCTTCCCTTCGACCCTCTCATAGCCACTCCGGGAGCAGTTCGCTCGTTTCCTTTGCCATTGCCATGAGTCGCGCCCAACAGTTTACGCACAGATACGTTTCCTTAGCAGGGCCATCCTCGACCACATGGTTGATCCTGACTCAAACCATATCAAACAATTTTTTTGATATATATATATATACAGTATATAGAATCCCCCCTGAAAAAAGTAGCTTAGAATTTCATACCCCTCCCCATCCCTCCCCCTTGATCGCGCCAAAAATGTCATTGCGAGATCGCGCCGGGTCAGCGACAAGTAGCGGAGACGCGAGAAGACGCGAGGAGAGGAGAATCTCGAGGCGTCGAGGCGTCACAGCGCCAGACGCGAGAATCTGAGTGCACCTTTTTTCTTCCGTGACATGCCTGAGGGCTCTCTAAGCATAGCTGTTGTCGAAGTGGAGGAAAACACACCTGAACTGAGTTTTTGGTACCGCGTGAAAAAGTTTATACAAACCACAAACCTTCAAAAACGTGGCGTAAGCATGCATAAGCAACCTGTTTCAGGACGTGTGCGGTCGGAGGCATGTTGCTGCGCATGCAGTGTTTGTCGTGGGCCGTAGTTGCGGGCGTTGAGCCAGCAGGCCTTGAAGTCACCCAGTTTGTGTGAATGTTGAATCACACTGTGTGGGTTTTGGCTTATTTGGGGTCTCAATGTAGCTGACTTTTCATCTTATGGTGTCAGACATGAAAACACCCAACAGTAACACAAAGCTTTCTTTTGCCGGGTGTTTGCTTAGGGGGCATTTTCGTCGGCGCACCGTGGGTTCTCCGTGCAGCCGCCTTAGACGAAAATGCAGTTCGCAATCCTTGTTTATTCCATGTCGCTCGCCTAGTAGACGTTAAAAACTGCCGTGCGTAATATGCACAAGCACAGGTGCCGCGTGGGATTGTCATTCGTCATTCGCCTCCGAATTAATGTCCAAAGTCGCTGATGAGCATGAAGTTGTTGCTTGCTGGTCTTCCCGCCTTCCATTCTGAAGCACATAGCCAATGTAACCTACCTGCCCATAGTGGTGTGATGTGCTGAGCAGTGTTTCTCCAAAACCTCACGTTCCTAGGCTCTGTGTAGGTGTTAGAGAATGAGTCATGTTTGCCCTGGGTTTTCACCGTGGAACCGTAGGCAACGCATAGTGTTCTGCGAAGGCACCCAAGGATGCTAACAACACCACTTCTTTTAAAACGTTTTGCTGCTCACCTGCTGACCAATTACTGTAGATTTTCCTTGCGCCGGTGCATTTCAGGAAGTGCATACCTACGGTTGTCATTGGAGCTTCACATCCAGATCCGTCATGGAAGCAGGCCAGAGTGTGTCGGAAGAACGGAAGAGCCCAATCATGTTGGCTCGGAGCTGTGAGTATGGGGCGCGCGGGTTTGTGGGCAAGTGGGCTCTGTTTGCGCATGTGGAGCCCTTGGAATCACAGGGAACCCGTTGGTTTTCCACGCAGGGGGTCCAGGCAGTTACACAGTTGTGAGTTGTCCCTGGACTAACGAAGACGGACTCACAACTGGTGAAGCGAGAAGGGACGCCTTCTCGTGTATCTGCATTAACAAACTGTTGATTGGTTGCTGCGGTCCCTTGGTTTGTTTTATGGTGGTTCATGTACTTGATGTTGTTTCAGGAGGTGTTTAGGTCTTCAGGTAGGCCTCCAAACCTCTAGCAAGCGCCCTCAACTCAACGATGGCCCTCGTGATGGCCTCTATTGTTGGTTGTCTTGCAGTTTCTTGTCGCCAACCTACTAGCGATGGCCCCTCAACCTGCTTACGATGGCCTCTATAACCTAAGAGCAATGACCTCCAACCTACTTTGTTTACCCGGGACTCTCAGGAATATGCGTACCTAGTTTGGCGAGTGGCAAACCGCACCCATGTCAGTACGCTTTTCCTATTAAGTGTGTGTTTCCTTGGTGAGAGCCCAGGGTGAACCCGAGGACTCGAGGAGTGTCCCCTGTCGCACGTGCCCACAGCGACGGAGTAGGCTTGCGCATAAGTTATTTGCCAAGATTTGCTGAGCTATTGAATATGCCAGTAGGTGACCGCAGCGGTCGTGAGTAGGCTTATGCCTTCCCTAAGCCTAAATCTACTAAATCAGCAAAATTACAAAAACTGATGAAATTATACATGTTGTTTTAACCTTAATTTTGTGTAAATGTTAAATTTGGAGGGAATCTACGAGCCAAGCCATGCTTCCTTCTGGTTTCCTTGTGTGCAAGGTTCTAAGATATGACTTTTACATAATCTCAACCAAGTCAACTTGTACTTGTGCGTGACTTGTGTCCAAGGTTCTCAAGTATGACCTTGGAGTATACATAGTACTTGCGAGTTACTTGCGCCAAAGTTCTCAAGAATGATTTTTACTTGTGAGTTACTAGTGGGCAGTATGACTAAACTTGAATTACTTGAGCAAATGTCCTGGAGCAAGTAAAGCAATTTCTTTTGGAGCGGCAAATTGTTCAACCCGCTTGGTGTCTGAGATACAGCGTCTTTCTTTTAATCTTGGCAACTTGCCAGCGATTGGACCCAGCCAAGCAATTTTTACAAAGTTTCTGGACCTTTTGCATGGTCTCCTGACCTTTGAAATATATACCGGGCCAGAAGAGACTGCGTAAACAAAAGTTGGTCTTACTGGCCATATGAAATAGATCCCTCTCTTCACCTGCATAAAAGTCGATGAACTGCCCATGGAGTTGCGCCATTTGCAACCCCTGTGTGTACAGCTTGGCAGCCTGGTCCTCGGGGAATGTTGCGTGTTGCGTGTCTCGTGTTCGGCAATTCAAATTGGACAAACACCCCTCCCCTTCCACCCGCTTTCTCTCTTGCGTTTTCTTCGTTTTTTAGGTCTTCTTTGAGGCTCGTTCGGTTTGTTTCTTTCTCTCCTGCCTGTTCGTTTCTCTTTCTAGGTTTGCCTTTCTGCTAAAGGTTTTTTAGGGCTGTAATGAGGTTTTTCTTTTTAGTCAAGGGCTAAGTAGTCAAGTGCTAAGTAGTCACTTTTTTCGCTACTCCTATCTTTCTTTCTTGCCCTTTTCGTTTTGCTCTTTCTGTCTTTCTTTCTTTTCTAAGGCTTTTAGGTATCTACTCCGGTTCTGACCCGTAATTTGCCGCTCGTGCGGCAGACTTGCAGGAAAAACACACAAGCGCCGATAATCGGCATTTTGTGTGTATCCCACTCTGTTTCCAAGAGTTTCCCAAATCACTACCGCAGGGGGCCATCCCCCTCACCAGTGGTGGATGGCCACCGAAGAGTCCACTCGTCAAACTGAAAACGTACCTGCGGAACTGTTGCACAAACTGTTCTCCTTCTGGTTTGTTTCTCATGGTGGTTCTCATGTTTTTCCCCTAAACCCATTTTTACGCACGGCGTTAAATACGGTCTGCTAAGTAGTCAGTAACTAGTTTTCCGCAGTCACGCGTTAACCTTTTGTTAAAACACCTTCAACTCATTGGACCCAGCCGCCTTTCCGTTCCATCATTTTTTCGGTTTGCTAAGTACTAAGTAGCTTTCTGCAGTCACGTGTGCAACATTTTGTTTAAAATTCCTTCAAGTGCTCGGACTTTTCGCCTTTCTGTCCTGTCACTCCTTTCCTTGGGGATTATGATACTGGATGAACCAGTGACAAAGTGTGGGACGCTGCCTCTAGCAAAGACAGACTGCACGTGCCCTGCAAGAACCTTTTCCTAACATGCTGACAACCTTAAGCTCCGAACTTTCTGAGAGTGAGCCAGGATGAACATTTGCTCCAAAAGCTTGGTGCCACTATTGTGGTCATGCACTGAGAGAAGATAGCGAAGTTATTGTGTGAAGAGTCAAGCGGATTAACAAAAAACCATCCGAGGTCTCAAAGCGAGAAAACCCATACCCAATGTGCTTGCCCGGTGATTCCACCGTGAAGAAATGCAGTACCTTGATTGCATTCTGACCCTTAGCAGGTCGCAGATAATAGTTATATATATATATATTTACTTAAGGCGGTCATAAGATTTGCATTTCGTCGTTGCATTTCGTTTTGACCGCGCACCTTTCCGGGATTTTTTTGGCAGATCTTGTGAGGCCACATCATCGGTTTTTGCGGAGGAAAGGCAGGCGATGCTGCTGGTGGAGTCGTCAAAAGGGACTAGATCACTGTATTGCCAAATTTCAACCAACCATGCATACTTGGGACCTTTCGCTGTGGGGTCCTTGCCTCCTGTTGTTTCGCTGGATCAGGATGCACACAGAAATTGTGTTTCAAGCACACTGCACCACGAGTACTCCAAGATTCACGAATGTATATATATATATATGTTTTTGTTGTATATAATATAATGCATTTAAAGAGTTCTAAATATATATTATATATGCGTGTCAAAGTGTCAAACATTGACTCTTGTCACAGGAAGCGATGGGATGGGGCACGAAGGAAAACCATTGAGTGAGCAGTGTTTTTGTGGCAGAAAGTTGAAGGACAACAACGTTTGTGGGTGAAGCGGAAAGGGAAGCAAGAGATAAGAGTAGGCACGACGAGACTTAGCAAGCCACATCATGACAAAGAACGCACGGTGGAATGGTCATGCAATGCACCTTCTCGACTACAGCCACCAGGCAAACGGTGAGGAATGCCAGAAAAAACTACAATGGCCCCAGATTCCAGCAAGCGCTTAGACTGAGCCTACTGTATTGGTATGTGTTTTGCTGATAATCTTAACAGCAATGTTGTTGGTAACAAAGCCAAGACAAGTCATGTTGGAACAGTATCAAAGTGGGGAGGCAACAGGGACAGAGAGAGAGAGAGAGAGAAACTCACAAGGAACTCAAGGAGGCAAGGGAGGAAATCCATGCAAGGTGTTCATTTTCGTGCAAGAGCTGAACGCCCCCGAACAGCGATGCTGCTGGTTTCTAATCGTCATGTTTAAGAGACTTGCCTTCAACCAATTCTACCAAAAAGACATTTAGGAGGCACATACAGTACACGGTGGTGGCCTATGGTACCTGGTGATGACCCAAACGGTGAGTGCTGTGCGCTCCAGTGTCAAATTGGGCTAGCTGAAGTTTCTGTTTTTTTTTGATGCTGCTCTAGAAAGTCGGGTTCTTGTCAGGATGCAACACACTTGTATACAAGCATCTCCCAGGGCCGCTCTACATCGCTTTACTAAGTGAGGGCCTTCAGTAAAGGGACCCTCACCGTTCAGTTTGATACAGTTTGCAGATGTTTGTAGTTAATTAGACTGGATCATTCGCTGAGTGGTTTCAATCTATTGATTTCTCCACCTCAACAAACAGCGGGTCAATCACCTATTAAATCCTATTAAGCTGTGCCACATGTGCACAAGGGGACTTAGACTTAAGGGCTGCCACAGTGACACGACTGGCTTTGCATTTTATCTTTGCATTCAGTTGTTCAAATACCCAAAAACACACTATAGCGGAGCCTAACCTCACAGTGCAAACTTGTCAGAAAGGGTGCAACAAACACCAAAAAGGCACGTGTCGAATCTTTGCTACCTTTGCCGCTTTATATACTCTGCAACACACGGTGCCTCTGATAGTTTAGTGCAAGCCGAGTGTTCCCTTACAGGCTCCCCCTGCTTCACCCGGGTCGGTCGATCAGATATTTGGGAGGCAAAACTGTAGGAGTTCAGTAGCCAACAGCCTCAGCGAAATTGCAAAGAAAGTAGTTCTTGAAGAGGGCCGGGCCCTTTGTTGTTTGTCTTGCTTGGCACTCAATATCAACGTCTGTGCACCTCCATTTTTGAGGGTACTTTTGATCCCGGTTTTGAACTCGCAGACGCATGTTTGGCTGCATCGTTGATAATTTCAGGCGATAGAGAGGGATAAGTTGATGAGTGCAGGCTGCTTAGGTTTTGGTGCAATGTGGCCGGCCGGCCAATCCTGCAAATCAACCCTTTGGCTTTGCTCCCAGGCCAAAATTGAGCTTCTCTCTCAAGATTACGTTGTGAGATGATGGTAGAAATATCCAGACAGCCCAAAATGAAAGTGCCATGGCATTACTTGCAAATGTAAAGTGTTCAGTGACAGAAGATGTTCGCTTTTGTTTGAGTATGAGGTGCACGAGTTTGTACTTGTGCTGTCAAGTTGGCACTGCGGCCGCGCAGCTCAAACTTGACTAACGAGACATGTTGTGAAAACAAAGAATCGTTCTTGTCATTAAAAAAAACACATGTTTTGATTCAGAGTGGTGAAGACGTGAAAGGACACTGTCTAATAGTCTAGGTCGTCCAAGTGTTCTTCGTAGGGATGGGTGGGAGGGGCGGTGTTCTTGTTAGGCACCTTTTTTGTTCGTTGAAGTGTTGTATGTTGAGGGCTTGAAGTGCAGCAGCTGCACGCTATCGAAGTGCACGAAGTGCATGGCAAGCAAACCTTGAAATTGATTTGTCTCCCGTGCGGACTGAGCGGGCCGGCAGGGTGCCCCAGATGATTGCAGCGATCGGCAGTGTTGACGTTGATATGACTTGGAAAGGTGTTTACCCAGGCATGCAAGCACCACATAGTTGTACCAGTCAACCAGCCCCAACAACTTTGAAGCTGTTGCTTCAAAAGTCTGGTGTTTTCAGTCACTGTCGGAAGAATATCCAAACCTTGAAGCAATGCTCCCTGTCCTACCATTGTTGTCTTTGTCTCAGCCAGAGACAAAAACAACATCAGACCTCACAGGACATTTGTACAGTACTAAGGATGTGGCCCCATCAGCGGCCACTAGACCCTTGATGGATGACTTCTGGCCAGTAAACCTCCTTCCTTTGCCTGTCTTTTCTTGGAAGGGCTTTGCTTGGAGCAGCTGCTGCATAAGAATGCGCTGTTTGTGCTTCGCTGCCACAAGACAAAGGCTATAGCCTGTAACTGTGACTTTGTTTCTGAACAATAAGCAACTTGGAACTCCAATGTGGGGGTTAATGTCTCACATGCTGAACATCAATTTTCTGTTTTCCATGGAAAAACAACATGTTGTGGGCAATGCCATGTTTGTAAAGAAAAGTCTTACTTACGACTTACACCTCAGAACTTTGTTTTGGTGTCCAAGAAGGTTGATAGAGCAGGCTTGGCCGATTCCTGAAATCCAGCCCGCTAGTTGCTATCGTGGCATGTGAGAATGTGCAAGCAGTTCGCAGTGGGAAGCCCGTTGTGCAACAGACAGAGCCTTGACCTGTCCAAGATCTGCCGAGAGCCGTGCAGTGAGCCGTTGTGAGTGGAAGGGCCGCAGCTGTTTCTTCAAGCTCTAGCATCTTCTTTGTTTCTGAGCTGTCCTTCCTTATCTACCTTCTTTGGTGAGAGTTGATGTTTTTCAGCTCTCCCAAAACAAGTCTAGCTGATTCTAGCTCTGTTTTTCAGTTTAAGATTCTTCACCCAATTCCTATCCTTCATTGCTGTGGCTTATCAGTAAGTGATCTTACTGGCAGCGGAGGCTTTGGGGTCCTGAAGATTGCAGGAGGTTGATGGAATAGATTGATGAATTGCTGCTGCAGTGTCCTCGATCAGCTTGATAAAACCATTTTAGCATTCCATGGTATAAAAACATGACAGCAGAAGACGAGGTCCTTGTAATGCCCATCACCAATGAAGTCACAGAATCCAGTTTCTAACCTCTGCTAAATCTACGTCTCACTCTCAGTGAGTTCTAAACACGGACGAACAACAATGTCCTTGCTCAACACTCTTGATGCATGGCTAGGGGAAAGTGTGTGTGTGTGTGTGTCTTTGTATGTACAGGGCACATACATAGACAACTTGGCAGCAGCCTGGTTCAAAAGACTTGGATCAGCTGCGTTTTCAATGATTTTCTGCTTTGCTTTGTTGCGCTGGAGTCACAGGGGTTCATAGTGTGAACTAAATGAACACTTGTAAGCCCTTCACTCATCCAGTGCACTAAATTAGGCTTGTTTGATTTAGGGTGAAGAGGCACCGCCGATCGACCTGAGTCTCAAGGTGACCATCCCAATGTCTATGAGAAGGTATGGCAGTAAACCCAATTGCCCACTTGCAAGTTGAAGGGATTTGTACGAACCGTACTTTGTGAGCTGGCGAGTTGGATGAGGCTGACGCAAATGACGTTGGCTTTATCCACCAGCAACCAGCTGAGCCACACAGGTTGCGAAGCACTGACAACGTGTCTTTTTGCATGAGTTCCACCCAGCTAAGGTGTGTTTTGTGTGGCTCCTTCTCAGTTTGAGCCTGAGACAAGATGTTTGTAAAGAGCCAGCAAGTGTGTCTTCGCTGAGGTTTGGGCTATTGATTCCTTGGACCCGATAGAGGCCATTTGGACAGTGGACTTTGAGTGGTTTGAGCCATTTGCACTTTGTATTGCGCTTGTGACATCAGGTGTCAAGAAAGGTGAGTGCACAAGGTGCTGGCTCCCTAACTCTACATCTTTACAAGAATCAAGTAGTTGCACGGACTAGTTGTATGTAGTTGTCAGGTTCCCACAAGACGTTGCAAAAGGACGTGCGTTCCTGAGTCTTGTGTACGAACATGTACGAACCAATAATCAGTGGTTGAGCTGGAACTTCTCTAACTCTGGTGTTTTTGGAGTTCTTTTCCGTCCTAATTTCCTAATTATATACTCACAGACATTTTGTCAATGACGACTCAGCAATTTTGCTTCACAAGTCACCTCATCCACAGCCACAAGTCAGTTAAAATGTGTCTGATCTCAAGACAGCCTAGCTGCACTGTTGTCTCCGAGTGCCTTTTGCAACGCGCAAGCTCAAGGAGAGTCGCACGTGTCCAGAAGACTGCAATAGATAGCTCTTTTTGATGCTGCCGCCCAATATTCACGTTCTTCATGAGGTCCATGCAGCCGAGCTTGAGCTGCTTGAGGCAGCGCCCCACTGAGCAAGACTTGAAAGCGTGCGCGCGCGCGCGCGCGGGTGTGTGTGTGTGTCCACCCCTGGACAAAGGGTTTTCCACCGCTACTCCTTCCACGTTTTTCAACTACCTTTTTCAACCACCTTCTACAGGCAGGGGGCCAGCGGCCGACAAGCAAACGCTGGCTAACAAAGCTATGCTTGCTCGGTGGATGCGGTCAGAGACGTCTGACCGTGTACCTGCTAAGAAACTGTTGCCCACGCTGTCCACTCCTTTGGTTTGTTTCATGGTGTTTCATGTCTTCCATCCCCTAAACAGGTTTCCCACCACAGCTTTCAGCTGCCGTCCGCCGCTCGTCCGCTGCTGTCGCGAGTCTGCAGATGCGCACAAACATTTTGTTGAAAACACCTTCAATTTGAACGGACTCTTCACCTTGCCGTTGAGCCATTCCTTTTCTGGAGAAATTGAGTTAACTGAAAACCAGTGTCAGAGTGTGTTTCGCTCAGCCGTCCCACTCGGGTGCTGAGTGTGATCCCCGTCACAGGGGCGCGGTTTTTTACATCGGTAAGCAACCAACCCAACATGCCACCTCTCACCGGATTTCCACTGGAAGTCATTGACACACCCTTTGAATCAACAGATGCATCGGCCGCCGGGCCTAAACACGGCAGATTTCTTTTCCACCGGCTTTCGGATCAGTCATACATGTTGTTTTCCACATGTTGCATTTTTAGATCGATGCCGTGACCTTTTCATCAGCAGAACTCAAGCTTGTACACTGGAGTTCTCCACTCTAATTCGAGATGCATGATCGCACTTGACAACAAGCTCACACCCCGCTCAGCCTCACAACACACTCCCCGTCAACACGAGCGATGAGATTTTCAACATCACCATGACAATACGACATGGCACTTTTCAGCTGGATCCTTGCTGCTGCGCCGCGCCGTGCCATAGCGAAGCCTTTACTACACAGCGCTGTTTCTCACCACCGACGAGTCCGACTACGTCATGCACTTTCCCTGGCCATATGCTCACGCCACACCACCACCACTACCCACTACACAACCTCAGCCCACATGGCCGCTGCCGCAGCCGCCAACTGCACCCACCTTTCCCATCGGCATTCCCTCATCCACAATCACAACCACATCAAGCTCCACCTACTATGCCCATTCCAGTCCCTACTGCACTGTCCTACGGCACTCCTTCCACCTGGACGATTGTGCAACCATCCCAGCCGCCACCGCAACCCACACACCCAACTCGAGTGTTTCCATCCGCAGCACCTTCCCCTTCATACATGTTGCCACAACTACATCCCACACCACCTGCTGAACCTACCCCCACCACGCAGACCCATCCACTTCCAGCACCACAACAAGCAACAGTTGCCCATCATCCATCCACAGACCCGCAATGCACCATCCCCCAGGGAGTTTGGCAACCTTACTCCGTTTTTCCCCCAGTCACACAACCTCCACCTCAACCTTTGCCTCCGCCGCCGCCTCCACAAGCAATCGGCGCTCCACCACCAGTTCAACCCTCACTCCCACAACCGGCGCCATCGGACCCCACACCACCGGTCCAACATGTCACCACATCAGCCACGGACCCTTCAACACCGGTCCAAAACGTGGCCATTTCAGCCACTGGCTCCCAACCTTCCGAATCACCATCCGTTGCATCAGCTCCACCAGCCCCTGCGCCTTCACTACCTGCAACAGACAAGCCCGACAGCACCGCTTCACCGGCACCGCCACCACCTTCCCCACAGCCACAACACAGCAGTCGCCGCCACCACCATAAGAGCCGACGCAAGTCTGATCATCACCACCGAGGGCGCCACCACCACCGCCGCCGGCATCGACATCACCGCCACTCAAAGCACCACAGCACAACCCGGCGACGCCGATCACCCTCAACATCCACTTACTCATACAGCCCCACACCCTCCCGCAGCCGCTCCCCACAACCCATCGATTTACGCCCCAACACCGAACACACCAACACCGACCCCTCTCAATATCCCACCACAGCAGTCCTTCGTCGCCCACTCAACCGCTGGCGACCTCCACCCAACTTTCAAGCTCTTTCACCTGCAGACCAACTTCTCGAATGGTTCGAATTCCACGCCAACCAACTCGACACCCCCAACCGACCACAGCACCAGTACATCGCCAATCTCCTTACCGACTGCAACATCACCTACAAAGAGATCACCGATTTCCGACAATATACCCACGCCAAGTGGAACGACACCACTCGCCAATACGACCAATTCCAATACAACGCCATCTCACTTCCCTTCCTCAACACAAAGGCCACCACACCTGAACCACCCGCGGTTTCCCGAGCCACCTCAACCCACCGGGACGTCGCCCACATCAATGCCGGCCATACAGGCCCGGTCGGCAACATTGCCAACATTCTACGCCAAGGTCGATTTTTTACCGAGCACACTCCACTTTGCCAACTACCCTGGCTTTTTTGCCCAGGGCGTCCGCATCACCCACAATCAACCCCATGATCAAAGCGAGTTTGCTCGCATCATCCACAACACCTGGCAACTCCACAAGAACTCCCACTCCATCATCATCACACTCCTTGCTTGGGGTGCCGCCACAAAATATACCTCAGGGGGCGAGGAACACGCCATGACCCTGCTCAACGATCACCACGGCGCCGTTTTCCACCAGAAGGGCCGCTGCTGGGTGATTCACCCGGACCACGCCATAGTCAAAGGACTGGCCTGGTCCACCAACTCCACTCCACCCGACATGTAACACCACTGTCCAACACCTCCACACCACTACCACCTCCACCTCCACCTTTTGTCTCACACCACCACACAAACCTTCGCCTATAGCAGCGAAAAGACTTTTGCAGCGGTCACGCGACTTTTTGCGCCTTCAACTTTTCAAGCTTTGACGGTTTCATTCTGCAGAATATCATTCCGAATTTTTACCAGCTTTTCAGATGATGTCTTCATCACATGTTGGAGTTTTTTGCATTTGATCTTTCAATCGGACCTGCACTTTTTCGAACCATGCCCGCGGAAATTTGATGCTCGCTTAATTCATGCATTGTGGCCCCGTGATGACGTGCTCACGCTGACCAGCTGCCGTCCAGCTGCCTTGCCGCGCTGCCGCAGCAACCTGTGACGACCCTGTGTGACTGTACATCCCTCTACCTTTAAGTCATGAGCAGCACACTGACACCTCTACACAATGACACCCAAACTCTCTTACATCAGACCACTGTGGCACTTTCGCAGGTCCAAAACCTGCTCAGACAAGCAACGGATATTGTAGCACACCTTCACACTCACTTTCTCCACCACATCCACCAAGCAGATCCCACTTTCCGCCAACATTTTCAGCCACTACCAACTCCGCCAACTCACCCTATACGTTTACCGTCCACCACCTCCTCCTGTGACTCAGCACCATCTCGACCACCCATTCGCTTACCAGCGCCGCCCTCAAAAGACTCCGACGACACACCGTCAACAGCCCCAACCCCACAACCTGCTACAACACGCAAGCGAAAGCAGCCACTACCACCACCACCGAACCAGCAGGCAGACTGGGACGCATGGGATGGCGACGCTGATTGTCGCCTGGTTGAACTCAAAGGAAACCCTCGACTCCGTCCCAACTGCTTAGAACTGCTTAGTCTAATTTTTTGTAATTTTTTCAATGTGAAAGAAATCAGGTTGAAGGTTTCTGCCCATTTTATGTGCTGCGTTCATTAACTCTATTTTGCATTCTCGTTCTGGCGATTACTCAACAAAATCCTGGCTGCTATTTCAAAACACTGAAGCCATTGCGATTGTCGCATGTATTTCACCAAAACAACTAATGGGACAGTCTGTTCTGACCACACAGAAAACTTGTGATAAGACATATGTTTACACAGAACAGCGCCATGTCAGAAGAGCCATCGCAAATAAGATTAGAAAGCGTATACGCCAGCTTTAAGAGGGGGCAAAGATATTTTCATGCAAGACAAAGATATTTGCAAATCTCGTTTCTGGTTCAAGTTTGCAGTGCGGGGCCATCACAGCGATGAACGTGGCTGCTACGGCCACAGGCTGCTTCGGTCAAATGACAGACGAGACAACGTCGAGAGGGCTTATAAGCAAAGTGGGATCGCTTCGATTCAGATGTGAAATGGCAGAACGAATTTCTTTTAGTTCAAAGCCATCCTAGCCAGGGCTCGTGGCTGCAAGTGCAAGGCAAACCTTGGGGTGTCGGTTGCCAAGCTTGCCGTGCAGCAGGGCACACCACTAGCTTTGCCACATCCAATGTGAGAACGGAGGCGGGTCTCCAACGCAGTAATTTCAAGAGCCACGCAGCCAACAAGCATCACCAAGCCGCTGTGGCACAAACGGTGGCTGGCAAAACAACCATCGTATCAAAGAGGCTCGCTCCTTCAGAAGCTGAGTTTGAACATCTTCTCCAAAATATCCGAAACGGACAGGCCACTTGCTCTGATCGAAAGGGTGCCCAAATGACTTGGTGCGTGGCAGCCATGAAGTCATTGGACCAAACGTTCTACCCTTTCCTCTCATGACTCATCTCATGTCCAATTGTTTCTAGTGCGCCCGCAGCCATTTAGCCTAGGGTACTATTCCTCGGATCTTGACCCGCTCCTACCATGATGGAAGCTCCTTGTGCCGAAGACGCTTGAAGAGCGAGCGATCCTGCGAAGATTTCCAAAGGCTGGTAAATGGCGCCCATGTAGTTTTGAAAGAAGCCTTTGGAAAGGATTGGGAAGATGTTCTGGAGTGCGCACGCCATGCAATGATGTGGGCAAATGCTGCTGCTGACACAGACGATGAAGTGATGATCACTTGGATGTTCTGACCACTGTTCGTTTCAGCCACAGTTGTCATTACCCAGTGACTCGTATCGCCTGTGGCTTGCCTGGCAGGACCGTCAACTTGAAGAGCAACTTGAAGGTGACAGAATTCACCAACCATGAGTTTCAGCAAGCTCTTTGCAGAG